GCGAGACAATGAGAACAAACCAAGGGCCAGCAGGTGTTCCTTGTATGATCTACATTGCAGAACACCAATCAATCTGATTAAGTGTCTCTGTACTGCTTCGAGCAATTGTTTATCCCTAACTAGACGATTTCTCAAAGTCCTTTATGGTAGACAACTCCCATAAAGAAGGCGATAAACTTTAAAAGGCGTTAATAGAGGGATTATACAACATTTGGAGGAAATTATTGGTATTTTGCCTCAAAATGGCTCGAAATTACACAAACAAGCTTATGAAACAAGCTAAAATGAAGCATGAACGGAGGATCGATCAGCAAACTAAAACTAATCCCAAAAGGTTTTACGATTACAATGGCGGGCTGAACAAAGGCAGTCCGTTGGGGTCCTGCGAAACCACGCAGGAGAAGTGCCGTCGAAGGTGGAGAGGTTCGAGATAATCGAGCAGCTTTTTTGAAAGCGTCCATTTTATGCAAACCTTTCAGGACCCCTTCCCGTTGACCGTATGGGAGAACCCGTCGTTTCAGAAAAAACAGTTCACCGTCCACCTCTAACTTTACCGACAGGACCTTCATGGTACCAACGTTACCGGAACATTATACAATCAAATGTTAAAGATGTGAGGTGACTGGTTTATCGTTGTTGGTTTGTAGTGTGATTGATCCTTGTAGTAGCTGTATTGCTCGCAGACCCAGAATAGACGGACTGTCGGCTAATACCAGGAATCGGATTGGGATTGATACACCGGACTCAGATTGAACGCACAACACCGTTTCAACAAGTAATTGTAACTGATGACCGGTAACCCCATGAATGAGCACTGAAGTCGGGGCTAGAACAAGGGAATGCTAATTTCGGTAGGATAGATTCGCTGCTTCCTTTGTCCATGATGAATCGATACTCTACACTAGACTCGAACCTCAGTGAGGCAAAAACAAACTGGCTGTTGGTTTCGGTGGTTTGCCGCGTGAACATTGAGCTTGAATTCTCATCTGTCGTTGGGATATGGGAATCGAGAATGTTGTACTTGGGCATTCGCCACACGTTGCGGATATGGCCAATCCTACCGCATGTTTGGCAAGTGGCATTACGGAAACGACAAGTCGAACGAAGATGGAATTTACCACATGAAAAGCAGCGGTTGATCGCAGCCTTAGTTCGAATTCGGCTTGAACTGGATACTTGATGAACCGGGAGTGTATTATGAACACTGGGTGCGTCACGTAATGGTTTCGTTGATTGGGGATGAAATAATACAGGAGTATCTGCATCGCTTCGCTTACAGATATTTCGAGCCTCGGCAAACGTGATATCTTTCTTTTCCAACATCTTAGGTTGTAATGAGATATCGTTGATTCCACTAATGAGACGATTACAACATTGTTCTTTCACTCGATCACCATAGTTGCAGTTTAACGCCTGGTTATACAACTGAAGGATAAATTCACGGCTCGACTGGTTGGCAGCTCTGATCATTGAGCTGACTTTGGCCCGTTCAGTGGTCTGAAAATCCACAGGGAGAATGTGGTTAAGCCATGGGGATTTTAACTTCTCGAACGGCAATTCAGCAGGAACATTTGGAAACATCAAATTCTTTCCCAGGGAATACAGCTCTCGACCGCCCGATGTCGAAAATAGGACCCATTCATTTTACATTCCTACTTTTCAGGTGCTGCACCGTAGTTCGAAACGTTCTACCCACTCTTCGATTTCCTATGGGCTTCCGTATAGATCCAATAGTTCAATGGTAGGAATCTCCATTGCGTGAAGTCTGATTGTGGGATTCGGAATAGTATTGAAGATCGTAAAAGGAAAACTCACACTGTAATGCTCAGAACTGGATTTGGTCGAACTCGAACTACGGACACCAATGAAATACTCATGAAATTCACGTCCTGGAGGAAATCACAAGGAATTTGGATGAAAGCTGAAAGGTCGAAGTGTGTTACCTGAACTTTCAAAATGCTTTCTACTCAGCACATCCCTGATTACTGCTAAAAAAGCTCCAGAGTTTTTGGCCTTCCGGGAATTCCTAATAAATGGATAGCGGCTTTTGTGAACCGGTGGATGTTTATGGTTCGGGAAGGGAAGGCACTATCGACAGAGGGGGAAGTCAACAGTGGGTTGACAGGGCTCCTTCCGGAGTCCGACGCTTTTCCGGCTCTACGTTGATGACCTGGCTGGGGATTTGTCCATAACGACTTTCGCTTTTTCCGACAACGGTGCCAACTACAGGACGACCTAACAAAGGTTATCTGTAGGACTCAGATATGAGACCTAGACCCGTCAACTCGTCAAATATTGGACACTGATGGAGGTCCAATTAGAGTAAGCACGAAAGCGGAAACCACTGAACTCACGCGCATGGCCGAAACAAAGGAATAGTAGTCTCAGAAAAATACACGCCAAGCGAATAGTGTAGAGCTTCTGCACAAATGGCGAGGGGTCGGCTGTTCTACTTGAGAAATAGATTGATTACTAAAAAGGCAGAAATCTTTATAGGCACCTGGGTACCAATGCACCGAGAGGGCTCAAAAGCTAGGCATCCGGATGGTCTCGGGATGAGAGGCAAGCCATATGAAGAAAACCTGGAAGCGTTGGATCTCTTTTTTATGGAAAGAAGACACCTTAGAGGGGACCTCATATAAAGTGTCAAGCCGGTGAGCAAGCAGTGCGTGAACACGCAGACAGGCAGGCACAGAAACTGGCGCGTCTTACCAAAAGGAGTGTCGTCACGCTGAACAGTCAACGAGCCAATCAATGGGGAGAGACCAATACTGACCTCTGATTCGCTGAGGTCGATCGACCCTAAAGCGAGGTAAGTCGGCATGACGTGCGTCCGTGCGTGTGGTGGCAGGCCGCAACGGTCAGTCACGTGATGCGCGGTAAACGTTTCACTCGATCGCAGGCC